AAATTAGATCTTTTTTTGAATATTGTTTTGACCATAACATTCTTATAACTGTTAGAACATTTGAAAAAGTAAAAAATTTGGATAAATATAAACGCTCTGCTAAACTGACCATTACTTTTTGCCTGTCAAGAAATTTCTTAAATATTTGTCACAGTTATATAAAATCATAAACGAAAAGTAAGTTTTGAAGAAGACAAAAAACTGTCATAAATGTAAGTAAAAAATTTTCCAATTACTATTTACTGTTTTACAGCTGTCTTCAGAATATCACCAGAAGCAATAGAACGGGGTGAAGTTCAATGAAAGTTCAAAAGAAATTTTTCCTGTAGAAAGTTACAGGATACGGTAGTATAAATGTCTCAATGTTCTTTTTTCTTTGACTTTTTAAAATCTACAAATAAAAAAAAAAAATAAGGATGAAAAAACTTGAAACAGTGAATGACGAAAAGAAGATGAAGCCAGATTATAATTGGATGTCAAACTAAAAGCCTGGAATACTGACTTAGGACTTATAGAAAACCTCAACTTTAAAGCCCAATAATGGGGCGGAGTAAATAGGCTTTATGGATAAATAAAGAATCTATGTGAATTGCCTTAGACATTTCCTCAGTTTGGTCTCGTTACATTTTTAATTAGGAATACAAAAAATTACATGTTTATAGGCAATATTTATATCTGAAAGAAAAAAAAAACAAAACAAAACAAAAGAAAAAAAAAGAAAAGAACAAAACATAACAAAAAGTTTTCAAATAAAAGTGAATAAAAATTTTTTTTTCTTTGGCTTAATTAAAACAGTTTATTAGTTGAATGAGGTAAATTGGAAATAAAAGTATATATTACACGTTTTATGCATCATTTTAAACTTCATCAACTCTATTACTTATTTTTTTTCTCTATTTTTCTCGTCATCTTTTGTTTTTTATTTTTTTTGTTGTTCTTTTATGCAATTAATGATTCCGGAAACGCAAGAAAAAAAAAGCCAAAACTGCTGCTAAATTCATCCATTATTCGTTGGACATTCACACGCAGACAACAAAGACACAAACAGAGGCACACAGACACACGGCAGATACAGACACAGATGCCGACAAACACAGAGGCGCAGAAAAATATATTTATACTGAGTAAATTAATGATACTTAGTGAAAAAAACTGCTAAAAAGCAGCACTGCCAAAGACTTCAGAGTCACCGTTCTGTGTCCCCCCTCTCCTCCCCCCCCCCCCCCC